ACACACACACACACACACACACACACACACACACACACACACACACACACACACACACACTTAGCGCGTTATATATAGTAGGATATAATAATTCTGAATAAAAGGAAAAGTGAAGGATTGTTGTGTACTCGCATGCAAATTGCGCGGCGAAGTTCGTAACGATTTCAACGACTTCAACGCCTATCACTTGCCCAAGTTTGAAGTGGAGTAGTTAGAGAATCATCCGACTTTAATAAACTACCCTACTTCGAGTTTCTGCCCCGAAAATTGGCGTCAAAGTCGCACAAATCGCCACGAACTTCGCTGCGAAGTTGCCGCGGGCGTCGTCGGACGCACGTAATGCACGTAATGCATAATTTGCCACTTATTTTTTCACCCATCTTATCTCAGCATTTTGTTGTGGGAAATTTTCTTTTTGGTATTTTCTGGCTTTTCTACTCCGTTTTTTTTATTCCTATATTTTCTTGCTTCTAATTTTAGCTAGTACTGATGTGTCATACCTGCATTTTTTCATTCCTACCATTCTTACTCCTTAATTCGAGATCGAAACATGTCAGTACTAGCTAGAATATGAAGCAGGAAAAAATAGAAATAAAAATAGAGTAGAAAAAGCTGAAAAAATCAAAAAGAAAGTTTTCCCCAACAAATGCTGAGATAAGAGGGATAAATAAAACAGGTTGCGAAATATCAACCTCACGCGAACATTACCCACACACCAGACCGGTCATCGGCACGGGACTTGATAAAAAATATGAATCACAACAAAATCTGCAACGGGAGCGGGAAGAAAAAGAAGCATGATTATCCCAATCAGTCTTCCCGAAGCATGACTTATCGAATCGGGTATTGATCGGGGTGGAGTGCAAAGAATGCACCTCGGAACGGGTACCCGCATCTAGTATGAATGCGCCCTATGACGACGCACAAGTGGGGTGTGTGTCAAGTCGTGCGTCCGAGGGCGCGCGCGGCAAATTGCGCGGCGAAGTTCGTGGCGAATTTGAACGACTGCAGCGTTTATCATTGCGGCCCAAAACTAAAGTAGGNCCTACTTTAGTTTTGGGCCGCAATGATAAACGCTGCAGTCGTTCAAATTCGCCACGAACTTCACCGCGCAATTTGCCGCGCGCGCCCTCGGACGCGCGACTTGACCTTCTCCCCACACAAGTGCCATAGATGGGGTCGTTTGACGAGTTGCCAATTGTGCGATTGCATACATTGTCAGCTGCGGTATGTAAAAAGTGCCAAAATTGTCTTTCACTGATGCTATGGATGAGGATTGCATGCATTCAAAATTTTGGAATCGTCATGCTGACGTTCTCTGCTACTGTTGCCATTCTATTATTATTTTGTTGTTATTATTCTTTCTTATATTGCATAATGTTGTTTCCTTGCACGGTCACCTTCCGTTGTGGCAGTGCATGCAGTGCATACATACAATTTTGTTACGGTCTATCTGGGCAGTTTTTGGTCCATGTGCCATCCCTGAGGGTCTCAGATTCGTACTAATGGAAAATTCCAAAGACCATTTTTAACGTGAGCTGTGCCTCTGAGCTGATTGTAGTTCAACTCAGAAATGAAAGAATTTCTAAAAGAAAAACAAACATGCCATGAAGTTTCAGCTCGATTAATTTCTCATATAGTGAGTTATCATGTGATCAATAAAGTAGTGAAGTACCGCTGTTTATTAATGATATTCTCCCTTTCAGATCATCCCATATTACATTCTCATCATGTGTACTTTACTTTTCGTGATTCTGCGGAAAGAATCGAACCGAGTTTCGTCATTCCAAGCAGCTATCGCTGAAAAACAGAATGAAAAGGAACAGCAGGCGGACACGTATTTCCGTTCCCTCCGGCATCAATGGGGAACCTAGATCTCTCTACACTTTGGCAGCATCACAGTCCTCGCAGATCCACACCAACCTCCTGTCAGAAGCAAGGGTCTACCACACTGGAAGACACAAAGTAACTATTGTTACAATCGTGATCTAGTACTGCTTATAATGATTATTAATTTAGGGTTGTTAAAATAATGTTGCCTGTTGACGCTTTTGTGTGTATTCACTGATGTTTATATCCCTTAATGTTGTCATTAAACCTCTTCAATGACTAAAAGGCAACCGTTCTGTGTAAATTTCAGAGTCTTTTTTTTGGTTCATCAAACCTTCCACCTCAACTGAAGAGTACAGTGACATGTGGAGCATGCATTGCAGACGACTTCGTAATCGTATGACTCCACTCCGTCTTCAGAGAAGAACAGCAACAAAAGAAAAAGAACAGCACAGACACAGATCAATACAATGGGATGAAAGCCGTGGTATTGACGTTAGAAGTGTGTCAATGAATATGGGTCACAATTCTGAGCATACCCTTTTTCTCTTCAAAAACTTCTCATTAGTCTGCCCTTATTGGGGGTATTGTTGGAGGAATCGACAGTTGAGTGCTCGGAAATCTAATGAGCCAAAATCATTGGGTATCCTAATAGTAACTTCGTGAAACTAGACCATTTCAGTAGTTTAGCCCTCACTTCTTTCATCTCTCAACTTTTGCTGTGAAATCGACAAAACATGTGCGGATTGATACATAAAGGGACTCATCTACAAACAGCGGATCTTGTTTTGAATTGATGTTTTGTTAACTGCTGTTATTTCGCCACAAACGCGATGCGAAAGCCTCACATGGTTGGCGAGTTATGGTCAAAACTTCGACCTCGAACAAGACTTGAACCTTTTTCTGCTGACAGGCCCTGTGCTCTATCTCATACACCGCCGACACGCCGCCTGACTTCGCCTTCTTAATGACTTATATACCATAGCCTATCAGTGGGGAGCCGGTCGGTCAATATCAGCACTGAAAGCTTTACCTGATATAATTGTCTGACTTGATGTTTTGTTAACTGCTGTTATTTCTGCAGTATTCGAAAGTCTTGCAAGGTTGGCGAACTTTGGACAAAATTTCGGCCTCGGAGTGGCTTGCTATAGCATATAAGCCGTTAAGAAAGTGAGGGCAGGTGGGGTCTCGGTAGTGTAAGGGGTAGAGCACGGTGCCCGAATAGCCAAGTACAGGTTCAAGTCCCGTCCGAGGCTGAAGTTTTGTCCATAACTCGCCAACCTTGTAAAACAACGGATCTTCGATTATTATGGACCTTTCATGTATGAAGCTCCGACACTACGATATCTTTCAACTTCGGGCTCAGGGTGCAGACAAACAGCTCCAGCCGGTTACAGGTCAGCTCATCGCTTCCGCTTTACTTTCCCTTAGAGTTCTCTTCTTGTAATTTGAAATGGTGGCTTACGAATCACAAATATAGTTTCGACTTACAGGCTCCGACGAAGGCGATATTGCCGNGGGGGGGAGCACTCATGCGTTTACTGTAAGTTGAATCTGACGAGTCTTAGCGTGGAAAGAAGCGCCATGTAGTCAGACGCCACGTTATGCTTCACAGAAGAAGACGATGTGATAAAGTAGGTTGAAAAAAAATGTATAATGAGTGCAGGAATAAGGACCAGTCGAAGTCAGTACAATATGAGCAGGCCTCTATCAGTAGCCCTCTACCAGTTGGTAACTCGGCCAAATTTCTTTACATGAAGGTAAGAAGGGCTATGAATGTGGATCCTGAGATGGTGTTGTCATCAATCAACAACATTAGCAAAGACCATTTAATGGACCATTTAAGGCTTCGTTGATCAATCAGATTGACTGAATGTTACTGCTGAGGTCGAGGGCAAAAAATAGATTTCGTAAACTCAATCGAATAAGAGAGGGGATTTTCTTCCCAACATTTTGGTCAAAAATGAACCATCTATCTTAAAAGGGGAATGGAGCGACAACCGTGTATTTCGAGTTCCTGAAAGGAAGGAGGTATGCGAACTATTTGGACAGAAAGTCAATATAGTGGTGTAGCGAGGTATACGGTAATGTCCTAGCTGCAGTTCGTGTTGCTCTCCTCCAGCTCCCATAAAATTTGCCTTTTCTAAGCCCGATAATGAAGACCAGAGCAGTAGGAATGGTTCTTGATCCGTGGCTTCCTATGCAATACCCCGTACCAAATTTCTTCTGCAACGTCTCCTGCGTGTCTTGCCCACGACAGCGAAGGGTTCTCAAAACTTCCGTGAGTTGAAATCTTTCCCTTCTTCTGCTTTTACCTATTCGGACAAGGACGTTGTACACATGGCCTATTATGATTAACTCCTTACAAACTCGTTGCTCAGCTGCTGTTCAAGCAGGGCAACAAACCGACGTCATCATAACGTCGTACCACCTTAGGAATCAATTTCACGAGGGATAGAAATAGCAGTTTAGGAGCTCTCACATTCTCATTTTCTTTGACAATGACTTACTGATCTGCACCATGACTTTCACCCTTCAACCCAATGGCAGAACATATTCGACTCACTTCGTATATCACTTCATGTGCTCATTTCTATATAACACAGATGATCACAAACATTTTATATTAATGACCTCAAAGACAAATAGCAAATGCAAATTTAGCTACAATGACATTGAGTTGAGAAAACCAAACAAAGCAATTATTCAACCTACTATTGCACAGCGAGCATGTTGTCACTACTTGGAAGGCTGTTTGGAGGTTGCTTCTGTGGAGGAACAGGGTCGCTTACGTCCTCTTCATCGATGAACTCCTCTTCTTCTTCATCTTTCTTCTAAAACGTAGTAATAATCAGGAATGTACGGCTTATCTCTTGACCTTGCAAAAGTTACAAATAATCTCACAGCAGGTGCTTTCCGCCTTTCATTCGGGCACTTTTTGAATGGGTCCTGAAACTACTTTTCTGAACGAATCTGCAAATTTATATGTGAGTACGCCTTATTGAGCCGTTTGGTGGGCAAGCGTACATGCCGCAACCTCAGTGTGGATAGGGGCGAATTGCGGAACGAAAGACACCGGATGGATTCAAGAGATAGATTTCCTGTCTCTGCTGCGTTGAGTCGATTTATACCTTCCAGCTTCTCGCAATCGTGCCCATGAATGATGCGTGGAGCGTGCGATTCTGTCCTGCGATTCGATTCTTCTCTAATTGATATCGTTGTCGAAATTCTAGTGTCGAAGATTTCAACGCTAATATTGCATCACAAGGACGGATGAAAACGTAATCCTACGGACTTGAATGGAGAGGGTGAAGAACTCTATGAGTCTATCATTCCCATCAGCACCCATGGTAGTACTCAGCGATCCATGAATTGAGCCTAATCAAGTTTGGCAGACTATGCGTTAGTTGAGGTCAATGATCTAGTGCTACTTTCCGCTGCTTAAAAGCAAGAGCAGGTTCATATAACGTTTATTTCGCATACGAAAATGGCAGCGCCCATTCACTGCCCGCAGGAACAACCATCACCCTTTCAGCGGGTAAGCCGCTAGTTTCTTACTACTGCGGACCGGAGAGCGTCCGTTCCGCGCGCCCGTCGAATTTAGATCTTTGACATTTACAGGTGCTGTAGGGTCAGTGTAGTGAATGATTTGCACTAGTCTGTGTTATCTTCTTCTTGAGTTCACTGTCATGGACCAAGTGCAAATCGCATGCTCTCCTGACAACTGCGCTGTCCGTCAAGAATCGCGGTATCGAATGAGGTTAGATGAATATGTTGGGTGGGAGCGGCTTTATAGGGGGCTGTGGTCATACGTCCGCTGGTAGGCTTTGGGATTTCCTGTGTTGATTTTCATATGACATCTACTATTTATCCTGAGCATTAGTCAAGTCGGTTGATATCGTCGCTTGCTTTCAGTCAAGCAGCTTCTAACACACACTGACTCGCATTCGAGCTCCTGCTCATTCAAGGATGTGCGATATTTGCAAAGGATCCTGCACTGAGAGCAACCCCTGCGTAAAACGTAGAGTCACGTCAAGGGTGACAGTTTGGAGAGTGGAGGTCCTCTTTTTTATCTATTTCCCAAGAGCTTGAGGAGGATTGCTCCGACGGTCGTCGAAGCGGATCTCTTTTCACAATCAGAGGTAGCGGTCGTGCCGTTCATGGCAGGGGACAAGA